CAGCTTGGCATGTAGCACCCGCAGACAAATGGTTGGACGGAGCGTAACAACAGAACGATTCAAGAGTGGCTAGCGGTAAAGGGTGGAGACTGGGAGGAAGTTTGTCACTGCTATTGCTGACCCAGCGAAAATCCAAACAGTCCTCCACAAAGAAATCATCATTCCAATCGATGAACGGTCGAACACCACGTCTACCAGTAGATCTAGAGGTTGGAAGTTGGATAACATGCCGAATATCTCCCAAAGAAGCACAGGATAACAGGAAGGCAATTCAAGCGCGGAGGATGGAGAAGTCGTAGACCAACAATGGCGAGGCGATGGTCGAATTTCAGATCGGTTCGAAGGTGAAATACAGAGACCATCAACGCGTCTCTACTCTTACCGAAGTGGAAGGGGCCGTACGAAGCGGTTAACCGGTTAGGTCCAGTGTACACAATCACTCGGCAAGGATTCAATGCGAGTGCATGTCAGCGAGCAGAGGAAGTGACAGGAGTCAGAGGAGAAACATCTTTCGCACAGCGAACATCTCCGACGGTCAGAAATATTCTGACTGAAAGCAGCTGAGCCGAGTGTTTTGGAAGGGGATGAGTGCGGTGGACAAAAGGCAGGCACTACTACACCATTTAGCAGCAGCGTGGAAACGTCAGGATGCGAAACGGCAACCATCCAACAAGAGGAAGTAATCACTCCTCCGAAGTAGAAAACATTAGGAACGCAGTTGTATGCACGCACAAGCAATGTACATCACACAACCCATAGATACAGAACGAAACCTGCACCATACAACGTACAACAGGGATAGCGAAGATGAGTGGCTGTCTCGTTTGTCGGAAAGGATGCACCTAGTATTAGCTATGTTTGTCACAATATAATTCAGTCTGCACCTCCGGTTCTTACACAGTGAGGCTGTGCTACATTAGCGCGAAATCGAATTACTGTGAATGTGATGACTGAAGGGTATCTAATGTTCCCATGGGGCTGATATAAAAAGAACCCGTACACGCTCGCGTACAACAAAATGTCTCGACGGACGCTTTTTCCGTCCGCCAAGTTACGTTATGCTACCAGCAACGACACCAACTGGCGGTTATCGGTGACAAGGTTATCATGCAAGCATTTCCCTTCAAAAGTTTCAGCATAGCAATAAAAACCACCTTTCAACAGATTAATTTCATGTACTCTCCTCGGCTGTTTAGATACAATTTTGTGGAAAGAACAAGTTGCATATCAAAGGGAACCAACGTGCGATACAACCGGTGAAATTTAAAGCGATCAAAAGCCGTTGAGATTATGTGACCCGGTCAAAGGAAAGACAATCACAAGTCCCACCAGAGTAGGGCGAAACTAGTCGCGAAATCCGATTATTTACACAAACTTGAAGCATTGAGTTCCCTGTACTAACTTGGATAGCACAGTGAAAAGACGAACGTTGCAAGATGGCATCATTTCGTGCCATATGTTCACTTGCAAAAGGACAACATATTAAACGACAGTGACAAAAAAGAAATCAATAAGTTGTAAGCATGAGGTCACATGCAAGCGAAGTAAACGTTGGCTATAGGTTGAGGAGGAATTATTAACGCCAAGGGAGTTTGAGCATAACGAACAGCTGCTTATGGACGCACAATATTGTATAATGCCTTTTTATGGCCATTGCCTCAGCAAACTTGAGGACGATAGATGACACTAAACGCCGAGTTGTGGTCCACCTGATGACCCGTTTCCATCAGATGATTCGCAATCGAAGAGGCAAGTATGTTGTTCGTCGACTAGCTTAACTTTGAGACAGTTATATTTCTCTTGGGATGTTGGTTTTAGCTTAGAGATTTGATCAATTGTTTTCAAATTGTGCCGCAAACTGAATGTCATTGATTTTCTTGGGGGGGGGGGGGGGTTGAACTGTACACCCAATGATAGAGCTTCGATTGTTACCTATTCAATGAGGTCGAAGAAAGATTATACACATCGTTCTCGTGAAATCTACGCTGTACACCCAAATGACTGCCCACCTGTAGAGTTGAGGATGATAACCGCCTGCCTTTTCTGGATGTACTACTGACGAGGCAAGATGGCACGATACAGCGCACCGTTTATCGTAAAGCTACATGGACCGGTTTGTATGAACACTTCAGCAGTTTTACACAGGTACAATACAAACGCTGCCTTTTCAGAATGTTGTTCAATCGGGCACGCAGGATATGCAGTACGGAATGCATCGAGGCTGAACTGCAATTCATCACGCAGACCCTACGGGCAAATAGCTACCCAGAAGCCATTATTAGGTTTCATAGCCGCCCCGCGGAAAGTGAACAGCCGGTCGTTCTTACTGTACCAAAAATGCCTGTTTATCTGCGACTACCTTTTATGGAGTATGTTCTGGCTATGCAGGTAGAACGACACACAGCAGTTGCAATACGGCGTGCATTTGGTGCCGTTAAATTCTGCCTTCTCTGGACAACCAAGAGGCTGCCATTGCCTCCATACAAGCCTACTAAGCCGGTCTCCGCCACAACGCACTGTATCCATCGATTTGTTTGTAACTGTGGAAGCAGTTACCTTGTTGTTGCTCGTGTAAGCGGATTGGGGAGAACATTCCGAAGCGTATCGTTACCTTGATAAGGCAGCCGCAAACCGGGCCTGTGTCGACGATTTGCCTCCTCGATTGCGAAACCCCTGATGGAAACGGATCATCAGGTGGACCACAACTCGGCGTTTAGTGTCATCTATGGTAACACAAACGACAGAGTCGTCAAGTTTGCTGAGGCAATGGCCATAAAAAGGCATTATATACAATATTGTGCGTCCATAAGCAGCTGTTCGTTATGCTCAAACTCTCTTGGAGTTAATAATTCCTCCTCAACCTGTAGCCAACGTTTACTTCGCTCGCATGAGTCCTTAAGAATTGTTTGACTTCTGAACGTAAGCTCGCTTTCCCAAAATTACAACTTCTGATTCCCTAGCCAGTATCAGTATTACCACATTTTCATTTCGCAGCAGCTGAATTAAGGAGTCCCAATGACCCATAGTTAGAATTCTGCACTTTTCCGTTTCACTGATACAGAATCAGTAGTTCAAGTCTATGATTCTATCTATAAACCAGCCGCTTGCGTCCTCGCTGATCGGCGTTCAAATGGACAGCTGGTCGTACAGATTCTGTCGCATTTATTTGGTAGAAATGAAAGACTGAAACCCAGCTGTAAAGCTTCAAGTTAATGACGACTCAGGTAGAAGATAGACTTAACACTTACTTCTCAGGCTCTAACGCATCTGGTCGTTGAAACATTCCGATGACATGGAACTCATTAGTTGCTTTCTGGTGGTTGAGCACATTCTCAATAATAGAGTGCGATAGAAGTTGAATTTTGCACGTATACAGAAATGAAACAATTAGGTCCCTGATCGACACAACTTATTCTAGCATTTCATTTAGCAATGCGCAGAACAGAGGCTTCGATGTGGGATCTAGTTAATCTTCCGCGCGCTAACCAGGAAGATTGGCTTTACGGAGCGACTTTAGGTATTTGCTAGCGCAAGTACGTTGACTGTCAACGAAGAGTACAGAGCACGTCCTGGGAAACATGGTCGCAAATACCCCAAGCCAACTCACTTGCTCTATTGCACGCCACATACCTGATTGCCCTGTATGCCAAAACCCACGTGGTATGTTTAAGTAGCAGTCCTCGCCTACTTCAGTTCGCTGAAGCCTAGGCGATTCGGCGGTTGAAACCAAGTTTGTGTAAACTACCGGGTTTCGTGACCAGCCTTGCCCTACCCTGGTAATCGCCTTTCCTCTGACCGGGTCACATGAGCTCAACGGAATTTGACCATTTTAAATTTCGCCGATAACATCGCACCTTGGTTTGCTTTGCCATGCAGCCTGTTCTTTCCATGTATTGCATGCAAACAGCCGAGGGGAAAAAGGGAAATAATTGAATTCAGGATATTCTGATAAAAGGTGGTTTCTTCTTTCTATACGGAAACAAGATTATCATTGTCAACTCTCCCAAGAGACAGTATTACCATGTCCACAACAGCGTGGTAATTACCTCACTCTAAGTACCACCTTCGTTCCCATGCCAAATGACCATTGCGCTGTCCTCCAGATAATGGGGAAACCTATAGTATAAATACCAGGCTGCAAAAACCATGTTCACCTTCACTGTGACCGTCTTCGCCAATCTTATTTGAGCAGTAAAAGTTTCGCGGGGGACCATTGACTTCGATCCTTTGGGGTCGCGAATAGTCGTGCGGTGTCCGTGTTAGTCTCGGTACAGTGAGGAAAAACCGTACGCCGACTAGGTCACATGGAACGCGTCTGTCCGAATGCGATCACCAGTTGACCCCACAGAGTATAGCCCACAAGAGCCGAATCGTTGTCCCGACGATGTTAGGTTGGTGGCACCTCGGTGTATGAGTAAAAGTTAGTACGAAATTGGCGGCGCTGGTATCCAATGTGTAACGCAAGCCAGAGCAAGTTGCACCGTTTTAGCAGGGACAAAACGGCAACCCCGAAAAATAGTAAACAAACACTTGGAACCGAACCACGCAGATCAGTTAAACAACTATGGTCTTAGCACGGAAGTGCGGTGGGCTCAGCTGCCACAGCTCATGTCGCCCGATAACAACCTCAAGAAAAGTAGGTTGAACACAAAGGTAATATAAATAAAATGTAAGCAGGACAAAAAAGCGCAAAACAAAATTGGGTTGGAATGAAGATTAACAGCTAAATGCAAGAAACCGAATGCAGGGGTACCACTGACTGCGCGATGTCTGTCTAATGGTCTCGAACCACTGGTGTTGACAATCCCAGAGCCTCATCAACAAGGAATGCAAGCACCAGGCTGACCCAGTCTCTCAGTCAATTTCTCCATGCCTCTATGACACGTTATGGATCGGCGACCTTGCGGTTTCGCCTAACTTGGTGAAGCGACGGCGTGTAATGAACGCCGAGGAAGTCGATCAATGGGCATACAGAAGACATGACCTAACCAACGTAAGCCGTTAAGATTCGAGAAACACACCGGTGAGGCAACAGGTTTCTTGCTATAAACCAAATGGTGGACCACAGCAGTGTTCACCCGGTGTTCCCACTAGATGTGAGCAATACCCCGCAAGTAACATTGGTCAAACACGGTCAGGCGTTTAATGTCTTCACTGCGAACCGAATTGCATGAGAAGATACTAACCGAAAAGCTTAGGCAAGCTGGACACCGTGCGATTTAGCAATGCATGAAAAGCATGTGACACTGTAGCATGTGAGGTCGGAAATGTGGGACCATGAGATGGGTAAATCGGGGGGAGAGCGATAGGAACGAAAAAACGTACCGACTAGCCATAAAATTGCTATGGAGAGAAGGCTGTTCATGCAAAACAACTTCAAAGTCCGAGCAAACAATGTGCAATGGAACGCAATTAAGCGAGCAAAAAGGCCATGAATTGCTGAAAAAGAAAAGCAAGTGAACGCGGCCCCCCAAATGAACCGATTATGTAAGCATCGGTCTGTAAGTAGAAAACGACTGCTGTGCAAACACGTGTTTAAACCATAGGGCAGTATTATGATGAAGCAGAAAATATGAAAAGCTGAATACATGAAAACATGATTCAGGACCGACAGAAGAGGAAAGAAATTGAGCAGCGACCGTGTGAACAGACTGCCGAAAGAAACAAAAGGATGATAGCCGACCGATTCATTGGGGTGGAAACGGTGCACGAGCAATTCATGAATACCGGTGACAAGCGGAAGAAGAAAAAACCAACTGACTGGCTATTGGGAAATGAGCAAGCAAAAGCTAGGGAGGAAAAACAAGCCCAATTAATGTCGTATCGCACAAAGGATGATGAAGAAAAAGGGAGGGAAACACCGGAAAAGAGAACCTCAGTGAAAGGGAATACACTGCATGAATCGGCAGTGCGAGTAGGGCAAGTGTGAAAGTAGTGGATGAACCACTATCGGAGCAGAAGGAGAGGCAGCACACGAAGCAAGGGGATCAAGCGTTATGACTGGTGTTGTAAACGGGCCCAGTCTCCGAAATGAAACGTTTTCGTGGTCTGAAGAGGGAAAATAGGGAAAATGAAACGAGTTCGAAATTCCGTCTAATATATATATATATATATATATATATATATATATATATATTCCCACAAAAATATAACTCACTAAGGTCAGATTGCACCCAAAGGAGACACTCAAAGCTAACGAGTGCATGACAAATCGGTACGAATGAAACAAAATGCACAAACGTGTGCTATCATGTGACTTAATAATACATGTATTCAGGCTATGTTAGAGATCTATGGGGGTGGCAGTAATAGCACAGAACCGGGAAAACCGCACTAACCTTGCAGGCATCTCTGAGGCAAGCTCCTTGGGCAAAAACCCAGCACTGAGAGCATCCTTAACGACGCGCCCCATGAGAGTGTAGGCGGCTGGAACATCCAGTTGCAGATCAGAAAGATCGGCGTACACACGTCTAATGCCAAGAGCCAGCTGGTTTGGAGTTATAACAACTGAACGACACAACTCTCTGAGTAAATCAATCACACGATCGCGGGCATCATCAGTGCTCAGTTCGATTGCCATCACTATCGACTACAAAGGTAAAAACGAGAAACAAGGTATAAGGAATAATATGAGGGGATTGTTGTTCAGGTGACTGGAAAACGAAAAAAGCTACGAGGGTGCACATCATAAGACGAACCGTTAAATAACTTTGTGCTGCGTACCTGAAACACTAATTCGTGATGGAAATGGGGTGAATCCAATTCTAATAAGGTCTCTGTCGCTTCGTTTAAATCACCAGTGTCCAGATAAGTCCTCAGAAGACCTTGCACTTTCTTCACAAGTAAATTCATGGCCCTTGGACCGGCGGGTACACCCCAGATGTTGTCCATCCTGGCAAACGCATGACTAAGCCTTAACAGGTCCTCTGCTCTAACCAGAGTAGACAGAGCTACCTCGGAATTTGCAACGCCGGACGTGGCAAGACTGGAAACAGAGCCGATCCCACTACTTAAAGAAGTGCCGGCAGTTTGTTCGGAGTCGGTAGCACACATGCCGTTGCTACTGTCACTCAAGTTGCGAGTGCCGGCACGACAGGGCATGTCTGAATCGGGGATGACACCTGCGTTGAAATGGGACGACGGAAGCGAGGCCGCAGAAGGGTTGGAGGATGGCGAGGAAGGGTCAGTATAAACCGAGAGGCCGTTTTGGACAACAGCATGGCAATGCACCGGCGGAGGGTGCGACAGCACTGATTTCTGGAGTTCGATAAACTTCGGTGGAAGAATGTCATCAGCCATGGCGCGCGCAATGAATCTTGCAACAAACTGAAACGAAGATGTAGACGAGAGAAGGTCCTCCAAAGTATCGTTAACCATGATGATGACGAAGTAGTGAAAAAATTCGAAGACGGGAAAGTAGTTAACTGACAAGCCTCAACGAACGTCAGCAATCATTATACGGAACGGCCAACGTGATGTCTAAGCTGGTTGCCCACAGGAAGAAAATAGTCAGCGACAATGGTGTCCGACTGCCAGGTCGCCCGGCCTAGTGTGACTGATGGTACATAACGTAACCCGGGAAAAGTAATCGTCTAGACTGTTATATTTCACTAGTATGCAGTATAGGTCGGTGAAATAAAAGGCTACAGTACCAAATTGAAATAACGCACGTGTTACGGTAATAATCCAAACCTGATAATTGGTAGCCGGTGACTCATGCGGACTAACAAGAGTGGTGACGAGCGATCGAGAGTCCCCGAACTAGCTGCGTACATAGATGAAAGCGCAATGGAGAAAACGACGAAGGATGAGGAGCGCGGCGAAAGGTTCCTCGTTAATCTAATTGAGGTCTATAAGTGATCTAAGCCCGCTATTAGGTGTGAAAAGGCCGTCAAAAGCGCGCGCGGAGGCCCACTAAAGTGATGCCCGCTTAGATTTTGCAACTGCTGCTAAGATAATACATAATCGCTCAAAAGTGGCTGCGTAGCACTGCATGAAAGGATGATACACCTAAGGAATAACGAGTGATTTCAGTGCTTCGTTAGCGGTAAGATGTTGTTCATTCGAAATGTATCCAGGAGCCGAAAACGACAATAACAGAGGAACGTTAACCAAGAGAATGAGCTCGTTAACCTGTCGATAAAGCAGATGGATAAAGGAAAAGTGTCGAAGTTCAAGACAGCGGAACGCACTCACTTCAGATGCCTTAGGAAAATCGATAACCAATTCACCCAAGTCGTTTAGAAGGAGCAGAAAACCCTGTTGCACATGTGCCTGGTTCAATACCTTTCCCGAAAGATCAGAGATCAATTCGGATGTAAGCTCGCATTGAGTCGGTTTGTGTTGTAGAGCCATGGTTATCGCCAAATAGGGTAGCCTGCGTCGTTGGTGCGCAGCCAAATTAGCATTGGCCAATATATCCTGAAAGACGAAAGCAGAAGTGAAGACATTCATGCAGAAATGCTGGAGGAATTATTGCAACGCGATCAGGAACAAATCAGCAGAATAATACTGGGACGCAAGGTAGCAAAACAGGAGTGATCTAAGCCTATACATAACCAATGTGCGGGTAGATAAGAAAATGAGTTGGTGATATTAAAAGTGAGGTACACACACGCGAAATTTGTAGACTAAGAGTAAGGTGTAAAGCGTTGCAGGAAAGAAACTGGAAATTACTGAAAACGTCAAAAGGCTATTTGTACTTAGTGAAGCAATACCCACACCGGCGCAGAGGACTGTCAACTGTCCGATAACAAGTCATAGGGCGTCATATTGGACCAATTTTCAGAGGAAATTCGCTGCAGCTAGTACTCAGTTCGATAGGCCGATGTATCCTGAAGTTATTTTCGCCCGTCTCATCTCATTAGAACTGTTCAGAAACGAGCAGCCCCCAGCCCAAGTGCTTAGATTAGCAACCCAAGACACGAAGCGGTGGACCGCTATGACTGATCAATGGCTACGAAATGCGGATGCTCATCCACTAATGCCATGTATGATACGAACGTGCATAAGATTTAGAGGGATCAGTCTGATCTCCATCGCCTCCAAATTACTCGCTTCCATAATTCTTTACAGACTGACTGGCGCTCGTGAAAGCCAGATTCGTGAGGAGCAAGCCGGGTCTCGTCGGGGTCGTGGCTGCATCGACCACAACTTCACCTTGCGTCAGTTGTTGGAGTACCGTCACACACATTGGCGGCCCACCGTAGTCGTGTTCCTCGACATCAAAGGCGCCTTCGCTTCGGTTGATCGATGTGCCCTTTGGAATTATCTACTCAGGAAAGATGTGCCCGAGAAATATGTAAATATTATCCAGGCATTATACGCGCGAAGTACGGGCAGTGAGGTCTTGTGGTAAGCTGTCGCCACCTTTCAATATCTCCAGCGGTGTGAAACAAGGATACCCGATGTCACCTTTCCTCTTCAACTTCGCTATTGACGAAGCCATGGGGATTGCATTCACAGGACATGACTTGGAAGGTGTGGAGCTACTCCCAGGAGAACGACTTCTTGACTTGGAGTAGCTGACGACATTGCCCTCATCTGTGACAGCTCCCAGACGTGCCAAGCCGCGCTGGACAAATTAGCACTGGCTGTCAGCCGCTTCGGGCTTTGATTTGCACCATCGAAATGCAAAGCGTTCCTTCAAGATTGGCAGGGATCGCCTCCTGCGCTGACCCTTGGTGGGGATCAGCTAGAAGTCGTTCAAAAATTCAACTACCTGGGAAGTTGTATCAGCGTCCTTGGGATCGAAGACGAGATCACGAACCGTATAGCAAAAGCTCGAAGTGCTTTTGCTAACCTTCGCCACCAATGGCGGCGGCGCGACATTACTCTCGCCCTGAAGGGTAGAGTGTACAATGCAGCGGTACGTTCGACCCTATTGTACGGTTGTGAAACCTGGCCGCTAAGATCGGCGGACATGAAGAGGCTAGTTACGTTCGACCATCGGTGCCCTCGCAGTTTGGCTCACATCTGGTGGGAACACCGCGTGAGTAACGACCGTGTTCGACGCCTTGTTTACGGCCCACGAAAAGGAACTGAACCGCTCAGCACCGTCATTTCACGCACCAGGCTCCGATGGCTGGGCCACGTGTTGCGCATGCCAGCCCATCGACTTCCACGACATGCGTTGTTTGCTCACAGGGGATTTGGATGGAAGAAGAGGAGGGGTAGCCAAGCGATGACTTGGTCCAGAGGAATGAAGGCCCTCACTTCCGTGCTGGTCTCGGTTGGAGCGTCACGGCTCCCTGGTTGGGGTCCAAAAGTCAGTGAACACGTTTGGCTGGATACACTTGCTGACATGGCAAGGAGCCGACCTCAGTGGCGTTCGTGCTGTGAGTTTCTTTGTCCCTCCCCATCCCTCTTAGCCCCCCCCTCCATCTACGATATCCTTTCTTAGCGTAAAACATGATAATTTTTTCTTTTTGCCTAGTAGCCGGCTGGTAGCTTACCGGAACGATGCCTATCAGTTGCTGGTAGCTCAGCTGGCATGAAACTGTTGTATTTATTTTCCTTTTCCTTTACGTATTGCGGCACAGTAGCTGAGGTGTTTCCCACCTCTAGCTGACGTGTATAATGATGATATAATGATGAAGATTTAGCTGGCCCCAAAAGATACCAATTCCTTCTTAACCCGTCACCAATCAAACCGACATGTACGCTGCTCAAGAGAACACTTGTTGAAAAGTACTGGAAGATTTTGGTGTACATGCGGGGACAATGAGTTCGACTCCCGGAGGAATGAGGGGAACGCGCGATGCCGAAGAAAGTAGGACTGATGTGTGGGAGACCGCTTGGCTTGTTGAAAAAATCTCATTGAAAGTTTACTCCAAATTGCCTGATTTTTATGAAGTTGGGACACGCGTAAACCAAGGTCGTTGCATGCCTATGTACCACATGGACAAGGGTGGATTGTTCGCTGACTGCATTATAAGTGGAGCAAGCTCCAGGATGACTCAAGGGGAAGACGATGAAAACGCATGGAAAAATTGACACAAGAAACATTATCGAGCAGGTGTGAGAGGATTTCACCAAGGCAGACACAGGGGACCGGTCACATCAGTTGTAAAATTCGGTTTAGTTTAGTTAGACATCTACGAGCCGGTGTAGTGGATCGTTGCCACAATGCCCAGATATCAGTAAATTGCAATGGTAAGAACATGCGATTAAACACAAATAGAATACCGAAGAAATGGAATCAAGAAAGAATTGAGTTAAACAAATCGCAGTGGAAAGAAAACCAAAAGCTAGATGCAAGAAATCGAAAGCAGGAGAGCCATTGACTCTGCGACTGCGCCATGTTCTGATAAGCAACGACAGATGTGGACAATCCTGAGGCCATAACCATGATGACAGCACGCACTAATCTGAGCAAGGTTCGCGGTCGAGCTTTGTGTCTTTATACTCCATCATCGACTGGCAACTTCGCGTTATCGCCCAATCGGTGCAGCGGTCGCATATAATGCACACCGAAGAAAGTGATCGATGGGCATATGGAGGACATGACCTAACAAACATAAAATGGTTAAGATTTGACAAACACACCGGCGATGCACCACAAAGCTTCTTAAAAAAATATTAGGCAGACATCAGTAGTGCACACTCGGTGTTCCCAGCTGATGTGAGCAGCAGGGTTACCCGGATTAAATGGGTATGAATTAGGCACCTTTCATGCAATAGTTTCGAGCGAACTATTTATATATGTTACATTAAGCTTATAACAACCCATAATCAGGTCAATGAATTTGTTTATCATTAAAAGATTATGTTAAGTTCTATACCCATTTCTGCCCATAGTATACCTATTTTACCTCATGGCCGGGGATAAATAGTTACACGCCGGGGTAAAGTGGGTATGTACCGCTTTCCACTGGCAATAACGTCATCGTACAGTAGAATAATAAAGCAGTCGTTAACAGGTTTTGTACAAAATCTTGATAGTGAGAACATTTATGATTTCATGATTAAGTTGCTGGAAACAGTTACTTCAAAAGCTGGTAATTATGATACTACGGACTTTGTCAATGATGTCTGGCATAAACATTTCACTGACAGCATATTGCTAGCCGAATTAATATTGTCCGCGACTACTGCAGGCAGGTTGTGGCATCTTCCTAAGTATGTTTACGGCTTAAAAACCAATAATGTCCTCCTTTACAGGAAAAACGTAGTAGGATGCAACCAGTGGAGTCACAAAGGTTCACCATGTACAAGCTTGCGTTTGGTATTTCAATAACACATCCAAAGAACTTGTGTAGTCCTTTTGCCTCTCAAGTTAACTAAAACCCAGTCCCCAATGAAAATATTGCATGTATCTTCGTCGTTGCTCTCCAGTATGCCCCTTATCTATCCGCAAGTTAACGATGGAACTAGGATCTGTTTGATTTATATTTTTATATTTATTGGCTTTTACTTAAGTCTCGTCGTTAAGGACCCTGGCTGATACCCACTTTGTTGTTAATACTTCCCCAGGCATTGATTGAACTCATTTACTTTTTCGAGCGTTGCCCATGACTCCCAAGTTAATGAGCGAACACCACGGTGAAATCGTTTCTATGATTGATGGCCGCAAAACCTTAAAGGGTGATGGTCCAGCAATATTCTAAACAGATTGTGGCGTTTCAAAAGTGTTTAGTTGAGGATCATCAACTACCTTTCTCAGTTCTTCTGATTCCATGCTGCTGCGAATGTAATAACAGCCTGAGCATTAGCCAGATCAGTTACAATTCTAAGTGGAATGCTTAATTTATAAACAGGAAAGATCTAACCGCTTAAAAATCCACTGATAACATTCTTCTGCGGCAGTCGTTCAAAAGGTTGTTACACCATGGAAGGAAAAACTACTTTGCAAACTTTCTGAAACCTGCTTTCTCGAAACCACGTCTTCAGAATAGACTACTGCTACATGGCTAGTACCGCCCCGCCAAACTCACAAGGGTTTCAACGGCGCCAGTACACTGCCAAGGTACCCCGCACAGTTTCCATTGAGCTCGCTCCAGTTTCACTAACCTATCTCCCGAACTTTCCTTAAGTCAACAGTCTGCCTCATAAGCCGTGTTCATGTCACTGCCTTAGCCCCCGAGCACAATCAGTAATTGTGATGTGCCCAACGTCTCAACAGCATCGAATTCTGTCCGGAGATAGGACCACTACATGGCGACACAGGTGCCAACAAACATACACTTTCCCTTATAGTTTAAACAATTACCACTTAGTGAACTATAAATATGAAGGTGTAGAAAGCACGGTCGCCTTGGTTGAGTCAGTAAACGCACCTATACTATTGGCCAGTCGCCTTTCTGCGGGTCTCGGTATAGTTATGCGAGGTTTACGCGTTCCATGTGCCTGTCAGTTACGACATTAGGTTTGCCGCCTAATTCCACTAGACGTTCCAATTCGAATCGTTTAAGCTACGAGTGA